GGTAGGAAAATTTAAAAGATTGTGTTCCATTTCAAACACATTTGGACAAAACTAATGTCTGAAGTGGACAAACAAGTAAAATAATCTAAGCTGAAAAAGTTCCCAAATGCCGCGCAAAAGAACGTATGATCTTACAAATTTCACAAAAAGGTACGAACGTTATTTTACTAGGCTGAAAAGTATAAGACGGAAAGACATATGAAGCTGTAAAAATACATCATCATTAAAAAACTATTTCTTGTTTGCTTCATGTTCCATCAAACACTGGCGTACAATATTTTGGAAGCAACAGATGGCACATGATAGTTAATTTCCTGCTGTTCTATCATGTGCTGCAAGTCGCCTAGATCGACACGTCCTCATGTCATACGATAGGGAATCCAGCCAGGCTGGCGTCACCTCTTTTCCGACATAATGTCACATCGTCCACATCAGTGGCAAGTCGGAAAAAGTATTCCCGTCAATTTCATATTTTCACAATTGAAATTTCAGTTAAGGTTGCATGCGTGAACAACTGACAACCAAAGGTAGAAACGGACTGATCGCAATAATATGACGTCAGAGATGTTTTTCAATGTCAAATTACAGCTTTCACTGAAGTAACCATATCTAAACATTAAATCTGATGACTCTGTGTGTTTTGTTAGTTTGACGCTGTATTTTAAGTCCGATTTAAATAAGCTTAAGGGGACATTCTTGGAAGAAAATCCATAGTCACGAATCACAAGTAACGAAATTGACTTGTACAGGATGTTCCCGTGTTTTCTCGGTGAACAATTGACTTGCATTTGCATGTGTTTGTGATCTGTACAACAGATGGGATAGGATACGCGTGTCCTGGTATAATCATTATTTGAGAGTGATTCACAAACGTCAACTGATGGTAAGGTAGGAACGCTATGATCGACTCTACTTTTAGCAGATATCTTTTATAAAGATGGAATTTGATGCTTTTACTTAAAACTATTGATACCTCTATATTAATGGGGGACGCGGTGGGCGAGCTGTCTAAGGCGCCAGGCTAGTGATCCAGCGAGCTTGGAGGTGCCGGGATTGAGCCCACCTGTGACCGGGTGTAAAAACCTAGGAGTCAACTTTGTGTGCAGACTCTTTCAGTGTTGTCACAATCCCTAGTGTTCAGTACACAACCCTGTGCACTTAAAAGAACCCACGAATCCGTTGGTAGATGACCAGATGATGGCCACATGAATACGTGCAAACACCTAGTTGCGGGTACAGCAACGTGCAGTAAACTTGGACAAAGTGCTGTGACTATTTGTCCCAATCCACCCAGCTGTGAATGGGTTCCTCGTAAGGATAGGAAAGCCACATTAACTCGGTGCGCCTAGTAGGCAGCAAGAGTTGTATGCTCCCCGGGGAGTTGAGATTGAAAATACGATGTGCGGTTGTGATGGACATCCAATGATCAAGGGGAAACAAGGCACCTTTGAGCAGTTGTACTGGATATCGGCGCTATACAAATGTTTGTATATATGTATGTATATCCAGTTACGCGAACATTATTTTAACAATAATGAGCTTACATGATACGTGATTGTTTCTAGATAGAAATATGTTTCAATAGATATTCGACACAAATTGTTCTTTGGCACTGACATTTTCTCCGTGGTTATCACGACCTGAAAACACTTTCTGTCAATGATCTCGCGTCTGTTTTATTCTTCATCTCTGCAAGCCCATATCTGTGTTGTTGTATCAGATGAAGATATTGGAATATGGATTCATAATTGACATGCAAATGGATGGTCTTTGGAGACACAGTTCTTTCTGGGGATCGGTTCCAATCCCTATTGACTGCACTTTAAATTACGAAACTTGTCGGAGTTCGGGAGACATTATACCGCCAGATTGCATCTTGGGACAATTGTACCCTAGAGTAGCCTGCCCCTGCAATCAGACACTTGAGAGAGAGGTTTTGTTCCAACTGCATGTATTTAATAATGCAAACGCCGTTTTAAGTATTCTCAATAATCACGGTGCCCAAGTAACAAGCCCTTCAAATGATCCACGCGAGAACTTTCTCCCATTTGGTACTAGAGCTTTTTTGTCCGTGATATTTATCCTGTTCAAACTAACGACCTGGCATTCTGATGGCTGCGTCTCCAACACGACTAATCAGACACAAATCAAACACCTGGAGACCGAATCTTACTTCTCAGTGCGAACTAATTGGACAGGCGGTATCATTTTCTGGCACCTCAATAACACTTTGTGTGACCCAACTGCCTTAATGACCCTTGTAAAGATGATGGAGTAGGGTTAGAGTTATCTGCCCCTGATTTGTCTGCTCTAAATTTATTTTTCGGATAAACAACAGTATTCAGTCGTAAAATCGAGTTACATGAAGTACAAAGAACAGTCTCAGTATGGTCTTAACGGACTAAAATGGAAGACGGGATTGTGTTGGATTGAGCTGCCCAAAACAAAACTATATACCCTTGTGCCACAAAAAACAAAACAAATTAGGTTATTCGAAGGATAATTATTTTTAAAAGGGTATGCAGAAGAGTCGACTCGTTTTCTAGGAAATTTACTTAACTGTCGAATTAAAAACCTCCCGATAACGAGATATAGTGCCCCATAATAATGCGATGCATATTTCGAAATATACACCATATTTAAGACTCCCAGAGAAGGACACAAGGAATAGTGTTTTAATTGTCATTTTGAGATGTTTAATTTACCTTTGTTAATAACAAGTGAGTGGATATTGTTTTACGGCGCTGGGAATACCAAAATTGGCTTTACACACTGTACCTGTGTGGGGAACAAACCCAGGCCTTGTGTGGAACCATCGAACGTTTTAAACACGAGGCTAGCCGTATCGCCCAACACTCCCATGTGCTATTTTCTCACACCGTTCCAGGTTGGAAACGATAAAATTATTCATTTTTATGAAATTATTCCATTTTTTTACATGTAAGAATTACATCGAATAGTCAGGCACTCTGAGCCTGCTTGTTGCACATGATTTCGGTCACTGGTCACAGGCTTCTGTGACACAGATCGAATGACAGAATTCAAGATTCTTTCGATCTGTGACGTATACAGTTTTATTCACCAGTGTCTAGTGACAGATATCATCAGCATTAAGATATTAACAAAGTTAGCGAACCTGACATCCTGATCTGTTAATCGCTTCTTTAAATATCGAGTTGCTGAAGGTTCTAACCTGGACGTCTTATGGAACACTATTGGCATCTACAATTCATTTTTGTACTTTGCAAATGAATGACAATGACATTATACTGACATCTAATACTGCACTTTCAGAAATGCTATGTTAATGCATGTAGTTTATAACTGTCGTCGAAATGCAACATTTTGGCGTGCTGGATCCAGGTCTGTAAATATCGGCAGCTCATATTCTGGTTCATATTCCAAATGGACCCGTTATCCAACTGAAGCCCTCTCAGACTCGGTGATAAGATAAGCATTGAAGAACCCATCTAAACGGCGACCGAACGAAAATACACCAGCAATCAAAATGAAATTCAGCCTTCTTGTGCTTTAACAAACACGTAAGTAAGTCTCAAAAGAGATATTGATAGAGATTGATGCGTTCTACGACCCGCCCCGTAGCTAATTACGTGGAACAATAGCCTGAGAATTGAGTTTCGATAACAGATAGGCAGACATGCTTCGAGGACGAACAGCCCACCACCAGGCTGTAATATCTGTCTGGAGCACATAAGTAGAGACAATGACGTGTCGGTCACGTGACAAGGGGATGCCAAGAGTGTTTGCTGACTTCATTCGTTGTATAGTGCGGCTGAACAAACAACATTAATTCTATATCTGTGGTCTGTCAAGTTTGGATATTTTACTTATTATGTGTCTCATCTCTTTTAAAATTAGATCTATATTTAAAGATGCGAAGTGACAAAAAGACTCTCCACAAAGCATGACAAGAGAATCCGTGACGATCCGGGTTAGATTTGGTCATAGGCAACCTATGCTTATTGTCATAGCTTTCTTTTAACACTTATTTTTTGTTAGGAACTACATCTTAAAACTGTCTGTATTATGAACTAGTATTAACAATTCTATAGTAAATTCAGGGTTGAAATTGCACTACCTGACCGCCACATACAAGACATTCTATATTTCACATATGTGGCTAAACGCACTGTCACTCCAGCAGGGAGCCTGAGGCCATTACGCAAGTCTATCTGACCAGGCTGTCGTAAATTGGTCACGCTCTCTGGGAAAGACCGATATGTGTGTTAACCTTACATAACTGGGTGTCACAGGCGACTAACTGGATCGTGTGGTCAGGCTAGCTGACCTTGTTGACACAGTCATCCCATCGTATTCCAAGTACGTAGATCACTGACTTGTCTGGTCCAAACTCAATTCCATACAGCTGGAATAATGCTGAGTGCGGCTTTTAACAGTAAATAAGTATGGCAAGTAGGGTGACTTCACCTTTCAAACAGTCGTCTTTGGAGTCTACGCTTCACAACTATATGGAGCTTTCTAATTTACGATGATTTCCAAATGCGTCATTCGAATCGTAATAGTGATTGTGTATGCTTTTACGCAGCTTTTCGAAGTATTCCAGCAACATCAGGACTGGGACTCTGGAAATCAATTGTTTCACACACTGTATCCATGTTCAAAATGGAACATTGTCTAAGGCGTGACGAGCAAACGCTAGCTTTGGGCAACCAATATTCCAGCTATCCCCTGGGGACACCAGTTCGTGTCACTTGATAACCTTTGTTTGACAAACAAACTTCAAGGCCACAGATATGAGTTATACAATTGACATGGTGGACGCATGAAGAACATGCACAAGTCTGCCGTATCAATGACAAAAATAATATCTGATACAATCCGAAGATAAAAACATACTGTACTCATATCAGGGTGACCTCAAACAGCAACTGAAGACACTGGCACTACCTTTGACGGTGAATTAAATTACATACATTTACATGCCAATCGGGGGTTTTTCACTGAGAATGGTACAGTAACTAGAAGCACCGACTTGTGACAACAGCTGGGATGAACAATACAAATAGCTGTTCTCCAGTTGTTAAGAAAAGGTCATAGTGTTCTCGAGCTCTCTGCGCAAATTGTTTTGATTACCTCCTGCATACAAAACTGGCCTACCACAACAATCTAATTTATTTCTCGTAAAACACAGCAACGGTGATTCATGCAAACATGCACCGACAATATACACAAATATACATTTCCAAATCCATTTCATTTAGGATTAAAGATGAAAATATCACGTGCAGCTAAACAACGAAGTCAAGTGAAACTAGCGAAATTGGCACACAAGTCACTCATTGTTGTAAAGGATGCACTTATTTAATCCGATTTTTTATCAATAGGATGTCGTGCGAAAGTAAGTATACATTTTAACAACGGAATGAAAGAAATGATCGCAAACCCTATCAAAATCTAAACAGTCGCAGAAACAACAACTTGAGACCAAAACACAACTATTGTAGTCGTATCAATTACATCGCCGCTACATCAACATGCCCTTTTTGCGTTTTAGGCGCCATCACACTTTAGTATATTTTTCTTTCATCGAAAGTTACTTCATTTAAAAAATATATTATTCTTTAGTATAGACATAACCTGACACTTCTTATCGCTGCAGATGTACACAAGAATTCAATGGTTGGCTTCCACTGACGTTGTCTATGTCGTTTTTGTAATGAATGAAGGCGTTACAGATGTTTTGTATTAGCAATCTTTTTTTTAAAAAAGAAACACGCCAAGATCCTGGATATAAGCCTGTGACACGTATGCTTGGTAACCCGCTGCAAGAAAAGTTCATTTTGCTTCAGGCGTGAACACTGACGCCAATCTTGAAAACACCATTGTTATGGGCACAAATCTTAAGATGAGGATTCTTTGCAATATTTGTTGAGCACTGTGACACCCATACCAAATCCCATGAGTAAAAATACCACGACAGCGAGAGTCTTTCATAAAGTGAGTGCAAAACAGTTGTGGCCGTAGGTGTCTCAATTGGGTTTGGTCAAACACATAACTATCTGACGGTGGAGTTACGCTTTGTTGGGGAATATCGACTGTGGGGAGTATTAGCAATCATCATGTCTTTGTGGATATGCAACGTCTCGTCATGTCTTCATTGCATATTTGTCCAATCCTTTGCCCTCATATAAACAGTAAGTTCATCTGTGTCTGGGTTGTGTTTGGCATGGAAATACAATACGTCAATGCGAGAGATTAAAAGTCAGTTGTAATTATAGAATCCTCAACGATCACTTACACGGTATTTCTTGTTTTTAACCTTTCCAATTATGTAGGCTGCAAAAATGCTAAAAAATATACACGTGGGTGTCGAATATAATCAGCTTCAACAAATTCAAAGGTGACGAATTGTATTAAACTCCAGACACAAGTCTGTATTATTACGACAAACTCATTTCAGGTCGGGAAACGTGTTCACTCTGTCACAAAGGCGAAATGGCTGTTCTACTGCGGGTGAGGTGAGGTGAGGTGAGGTGAAATTTGGGTTAAACGTCGTGCTTGAGAATATTTCGATCATATGACGACGTGCATGCGTGTGTATGTGTATGTGCGGCTGCTTGTACTAGCCCAGACTGAAGCTGGTTTTATAGTGCAAGCCAGCTGAGATACCATGCCGCAGTGAAGCATGAATACCCCACTCAGACACATTATTATACTGACTCCGAGCCGACCAGTCCCTTGTTGTACCCATTAATGTCGAGCGCCAGACAGGGACCAACCAGTACCATATTTTAACGTCTTTTGGTATGACGCGGTCGGGGATGGAACCCGCGACCTTCCGCTCTCCGGGCGGACGCTCTAAACACTACACCACGGAGGCGGGGAAATGGCGGCGGGTATGGTGCAGACAGTCTTGTAACGTAGGAAGAACCTGCCATTTGAAGCCACGATCACAGGACACAGCTCTGCACAGGAAACTATGGCACCGTCACGACTGGACCCAGTGACTATAGAGGTAGACGTACAACGACGGTATAAGAACTGAATGTCCTCACCTGCTGATCGATATGTTGTATTTATACAATTAGCGTACTGATGACTTGTGGATCAATTTTCTTCCATGCCTCTTCCCTTGGGATATGTTTCACCAATTTATCCTCAGATGGAACCGTGAATGTTCTTGGTTGACAATTAACCCGTTTCATGTTTTTCTTTTTCTCAGTATTAGGGATACAAGTACAGAAAGTTACACCAGTGTCCACAAGTGGTAGTTTGGTTTCTTTAAATGTTGATTGTTTTCAATAAAGTGTGGAAGTCATCTTGTATTGTATCTGGAAAGAAAGCATTCTTTCATTTAAGGGCGTTTCATGTATGTAATACATGTTTTCGTTTCTTTCTTTATTTGCTGTTCAGAACCACTGTCAGCAATATTCCGGCTATATGGCGGAAATATTTGGTAAACTAGTCTGGACCAGACAATCCATTGATTGACATCAGGGCTATAGATCAGGGAAATTTGACTAATATGATATGCATCGACGAAGTAAGCGAGTCCGATAACCCAATCATGTTAGTCGCCTCTTACAATTTAGTGGAAGGACCCAAAGGTATAATTTTGTTACCGCTCGCCGAAAACGAATTTTAAGTTAATTGAAGTTATGTGGAAAACATGTAAACCTCTTTTTCTGTAAGCACATGGTATTCGCAGACCGCTGTGTAGGAGTAAACACTGAAAAGGTCAGCTTGAGGCACGGTTAATGTTCACGTCATTAAACTAACAGTGTTTCCCTAGTCATTAAGTTAACGGTGTTTCCCAAGTCATTAAGCTAACAGTGTTTCCCAAGTCATTAAGCTAACAGTGCTTACCAAGTCATTAAGCTAACGGTGTTTCCAAAGTCATTAAGCTAACGGTGTTTCCCAAGTCATTAAGCTAACGGTGCTTGATTGTTAAGATACCCTGAAAACTCATCGAAGACTCTATAATACAGACACAGAGAGGTGATCCAATGATACGATATTACAATACAGACTGGTACTCGGAGATATTACTTTATACACCGGGGATTCTACGTGTCAACCCTTTTTTTACCCAACAACAGAAAGTATTTTAACAACACAAATGTCTAATGGCTTGTGTTTACTATTTGTGTCGAGGGAATCTGAAGTCGTCCCCGTATCCTATTGCTTGCCCTATGCAAACCTTACATCACAATGTCAATTAGTGCCTCCGACAGAAATCGACAGGCGGGTTACAAGCGTCACCCCGGAATGCGTAATATTTTGTTATTGAAACAATTCTTGACACGTGAAAACACGCTTTTGTCAGTTTAAGTGACAGTTTGATGTATATTCGCCTCGAAAATCGAAAGCACCGACAATAACCTGGTTGTAACCATGGTAACCATAACCTTTATCCGAAGATGCAGGTGAACATGTGTGTGTGGGAGGGGGGGGGGGGATAAAATCAAACCCAAACCCAGGGGCTGTTAGTACTGGTGGATTTGAACAGTGATAGCATGAACGGTATTCCTAAGGTGCACCTATCCTTCAGCTGGGGTTGTAATGCCATGCTCTATTTTATTTTATTTTTATCATTATTATCGTTTTATTGTTATGCTTATTTTGTTTGGTCATAGTCTGGTTTGAGGTAAGAAAAGTCAGTATATATAACCATGATCAATGTGTGAATGTGCCTGTAAACGGAAAACAGAATAATCGAATCTCCGATGTTAACCTATTTCGTGCCTAACGTAACTATATAACCACATTCACAACAAGGTGTTAGTAAACGGTCAACAGAAGCACTGATTATTCAACTGGTAACCTCTGCTGTGTCTCCTAGTCTCCTAACGGTAGGCCTATATTAACCTATATTTAGACAGACATAGAAGGCTTCAATCACTAGTATTAAAGTAACGCACCAATTGCAATGCCCCAGAAATATTACAGTTTGTATCACTGACCTGAACTGGCCTTTTGTATCACAAAATGATGAATACATGGTACTAATCCTTTGAGGTCATGAGGAAGATGTTGTTGCTGCTGCCTTTGCTGCTGCTACTGGTGATGATTCATCAATCACGTTTGTTTGGATAAAAATAGAACTATATTAATTGCCAAATATGCATGAGAATGTGATTAACGGGATACGGATCTTCCAGAAATATTGTCGTAATTGCTAACCCAGAACACACCCTACGTATATCAAAGATTCTGAGTGCCGATGGTTTAGCAAGTTAAGTGGTTAACCACGGTATACTGTGACACAAATCCCCAAGCACCAGATGCACTCAGATCCACTCGGCTTACTCCGTTAACGAGATAATACCTCGGGCAACACCGAAGTATTAATACATAATCGCAATGGAGACACTTTACCAATAGATCTCTCCGCATAGTGTATGTTAAGCATGAAGAACATTCTTAACAATAGCGTATTGGCCGTTGTTGTATTTTGTGTTGTACAGTATTTTGCATTACGTCCAAATAAGACGTTCTTCCAACTTGGTGTAAGCAATAAGGTTTCTGCATACAAACTAAAATATACTCTGAGCGAACCTGGATGCGATCACAGGTTTACGCCAAGCTTACGGGATGCAACTTTATCAGAAGAAAAGCATTCACCTTGAGGTAAAATAAAGTAATAAAATATCATTTCAAAGTTTTCTCAAGGGTAACATCTGACGCCATGATTCCATGATAGGTCCTCAGCTTATTTGCCGTGAGCATGGCGTCATGTTGGGCGTCATCGCGAATATGACGTCTCATTAGGAATATTATTAATTTCTCCCACAAATGAACAATCTGCCAGGAAATCTGTCACAATTCTCAGTAGATCATATTAAACATGAATACCGCCACCTCATTTGTTTCCGCACTGCTCTGAAGTAGCTCTGCAATGTGGTAAGACAGCATAAAATATGTTGTTATGCATGATAAAGTATCATGTATTCACATTTGTACAGGCTAGAAGTAAGAATCATGTTTGATAACCCATCATTCACTTTATTAACGATCCGAATATGTGTGCATTAACTGAACAGAAACTTCTGGAAAGTGGAAAAAATTGTGAATATTCACTGCAACACAGTTAACCCTAAAATATTCCTTTTAATTAAGCGTCCGGACAAGACACTTTGAAGCGTCCGGTTTAATGTACCATGGGTACGGATCAACGATTTTCTTATAAGCTCTGCTTCTGATACAATTCCAACAATCTTTTGCCGCTTCTGTCTTGTTGGGAGTCTGTGTATTTGGTCCCCAGCAATCAACGCTGATTGGTAGAAAATCACCGTATCCCGACGTCGGGGTTCGTTTTTCCTGACATGAATCATGGATTGTCTGACCCCCCAGTTGGTTACCAACACACTGCCATCATATAACTGGAATATTGCTCTTTAAACAACAAACAAACCAGCCTTAGATAGCGGAGGATACATTATGATTTGATGTAACAGAAAGGTATGAATATATAGAACATTTAATGATCCCAAATTAGCACTCCATCACCGATTACTCATGCCTCATCATGTATATTCTTCATGAAAGGAGCTTCTAAAACTGTTGGTTTTAGAATTCCATGTAACAGAATAAGTGTATTGTACATGCTTGAGGAAACACAGCATTGCAACGAAGGCATTCTGTTCAATATCCTCTTTAAATTGTCCTTTTTTCTTTATTATGATTTATTATGGTTGATGTTGTAATTAAAATAATTTGCGGTTTCCTCGACGTCTTGTTGAGTAAATTATCATGTGATCCAGCAAGCGAGTAAACTGAAAGTCCTGTAAAAATGTCCCATTTTCTCTCAATGAGTATAAAACATATGACGATCTTCTGAAGCACAAGTTCATTTTGTGCTCTTAATAGAGGTATTTCAAGACACTTGAAACGAACACACGAGTTTCATAACAAATTTGTCAACACAGAACACTTAATGAAGACACTGGTAAGACACTGGTAAATCTAGAACAGATTTCTTTTCAACCATAATGGTGTTCGTCAGGGCTGCATGCTCAGTCCGCCACTTTTCATCCTATTCATCAATAAACTTGCAGACGATCGCCATCATGGCAATACTCGTGGAATTTATGTAAATGAATACATGTACATAGAAGCTATAAAGATATTACTGTTCGCGGATGACGTTGCACTACTAGGAGATAGCATTTCTTGAAGATTTTTGTAACACGTGGGGCTTTGAAGTAAATCTGGATAAATCTAAGGTGGTTGTTTTTCGAAACGGAGGACGCGTTAAGAGAAATGAAAAATGGTGTTTTAAAGGTCTACCTGTAGAGGCCACCCCTTATTATAAATATTTAGGAATTGTATTTTCATCTCGTTTAGTTTGGTCCAAAGCATGTGAAACGCTATCTTTACAAGCCAGACGTGCATGTTTCCCTCTGTTTCAACTGTTCACCAAGTATCAAAGTATGTCTTTAACTATTGCTAATAATATATTTGTCAGTAAGATACTACCAATTCTAACCTATGGAAGTGAAATTTGGGGCTATACTTATAGAACGTGTATTGAAAAGGTTCATAGTGAGTACTATAAAAGATTTCTGTCACTCAGTAAAACAACTGCATCATGTGCTGTACTTGGAGAAATTGGCAGATATAACTTGTGTGTACATTACCATTCAAGGTGTATTACATATTGGTGCCGAATTATTCGTATGGGCCAAAATAGATACCCGAATGCCTGTTATAAGATGATGAAAGCCTATGATGATAACGGAGGCACAAACTGGGTTTCACATGTTCGAATGCTTTACTACAGGTTTCTCCTATGTCTGGTTAGCCCAAGATTGTGGCGATGTAAATCACTTCATGTTTGAGTTCAAACAACGCTGTATAGATATTAATATACAACACTGGAATAGTAAAATAAGAAACTCATCATTTCTTGTAAATTATAGTACATTTAAGTCACTTCTTGAACCTGAACTGTATATTTCCTGTGGCGCATTAAACAAAGATCTTATGCGAATGTTGATCAAATTCCGATGCCAATCACATAACTTGAATATACAAAAACAACGTTTTTCAAAGATAATTGTCCCATATAAAGAATTAGTTTGTAACAAATGTACTTTAAACGTGCTTGAAGACGAATATCACTTGTTGCTAATATGTCCATTTTATAACCGATGCAGATACCAATGTATTCCCAGCCCACCTTCAATTGTAAAATTCCGAGCCCTTATGAAGATACACAGTGTCACTGTTCTTAAAGGGATACGTATATTCCTGAAGCAAAACCTACGTTAAAATAATTGTATTATGAATTATATTTCAACTCTACACACCATGACAATGTTGTATTACCTGTTGTACTCTTGGCCACATGGCCTTCAATTCTGAATAAAGTGAAGTGAAGTGAATGAAGACACTTGATGATTTCTGTCCCCGACAACAAAACTGATATGTTCAAATCAACTATCGCGATGTCATCACTGCATGTATAGAGAAGGCCACGGAGAAGAGTATGCAAGCTGTTATCCACGTACTGTACGTACGATACGTAGTCGCCGTATTACAAATGTCCTGGTTATCACAACAGGTCTTAGTCACGCAACCTCGGGTCGTGTACTGATCATCTGTGCAGTTTTCGAAGTCGTCGTGAGAGTCGCATTCCCCGGCACAGCTTCGAACTGTCGACTTGTACTTCGTGTTGTCTGTTGGGCTGTACATCTCGAAAATCACCTTCTGAAATAGAGTAAAAAGCAAGTCAGTGTACTGTAACGCTTCAAGAAGAGGAATAGTAAACAATAATGTTAACCATGCCATCCTGACGTCGATGTTTTCAACTTTCTGGAAACCGAGGTATGGTGCTGACGATCCTGGAAACTCGATCTGGAAGAACCTTGATTCGAACTCACGATCATTGGTTTCCTGCATGCCAGATTGATTATGATTACATTAGATGTTTAATTAATAAAGTTATTGTGTCCAGCAATTCTATCAAAGAACCGTTGAGTGTTAATGAACTCGTAAGTGCCTAAATGTGAAGATGAAGAAGGAATGAGTATGGACTCCGGAGCTATGTAATCCTGAATAACACCCATGTTCCCGAGAATACAATGGTTATATGTTGTATTTACATATTGACGTGAGTCGCATCTTCAGCGGTTCACAAAACGACTTGTTTTCCAGTTATTGTTCCCGCATCTGCTATCAACAAAACACAGTCAATTGGTCACTGACAAGCTATACTTGGTACCAGACATGCAATGGCATCATCAGGCTAATAGGGTTTACGTCATGGCACTCCCTGTGGTTCCGAGATGGTGCATGAGTCAATTACAGGCAACCGAGAACAGTAATGTATGATTTATTAGTCTGTTAGCATAGGATCTGACATGGACATATTTAATTATGGTGTTTCAGGCAACGTTTCGATTTGTATTGATCAGGATACAAAAATTCATTGGAATTTGTAATGGGTCTTTTGGGTTTAACTCGATTTTGAGGAAGATGTATTCTCAACTCGTTCCTATTGCCATGAATATGTGATACGTTTTAGAGCCACCTATATTACAACGGTTAGTTTGTCAAGCCAAACAGGATGTTGTAAAATGAAAGAATCCTGTGTTTATAACTAGTTGTCTTTTCATATTTATCTTCTGTAACTATTAAAGAATTTCCATATTGCTTGCCATAGTTACTTTAATACGTTGGTGCAAGCATACCAATGACCGCCCGTAGTTGATATATTATTTGACACTGGCGGTAGTAATATTAAAAGTGTAAAAATATGCAAGATAGCTGAAGATGATATGGTTTAGACATCAGTGTAGTCTATGAGAGAGAAAAACATTATTACAACACGCAAGCCATTGGTAGGTAACAATGACAACAGTTCAAGGAAACTGAAGGTGAAAAAATTGTCACGTTAGTAAAGTTCGTGAGAGATGCAAACAGGATTACAATATTCAGGCGTGAAACTTATTTGAGAATGAAAAAGAGGGCATGGGGTGCTCAATCGTCCGAATTTGTATTGCAGAGTGGGTCCTTTGGGCAAGTCAGAAATATGTCATCAGGTTTGCCCTGAATGTTTCATATTGTTTCAGCAGCTTGCAGTACTCATGAAGAACCCGAAGTATTTCCAAATGTCTACGATCTGTATTGTTTTTTACTTTCCTTCCCCTTTACATTGACGCGCCGTGATGAAACTGACATGCACGGGTTTGCTCCCAGCAGAATGACTAGGATGTGCCACACTGACACACTCGTATCCACGTCTTACGTCACATTAACGACTGCAGGAAATATCCTTTTCTGTTTCATGAGATGAATTTGTGAGTGAGTATGACTTTGAAGTATTCCAGTGACATGACTGTGATGAAAACCAGAAATTGGTTTCGTACATATCGTAATGACGTAGGAATTATTTTTAAACATAGTGTTCTCTTCCTCAAAGGATGAGTATAACATGTCAGCTTACCCACATTACATTATTTCTCCGAATATCCAGCATCTCTAGTGACGTCTTTTTTCCATGAGCTTATGGTACAGACTATAATGACACCTACCCTCCTCACAAGGATACGAAATTCTGGTCCTATTACTGCATTAGAGAAGAAAACTAAAAAATCCCAATCGTTACGTATCCAAGAAACTCTCTTTCCCTGATCCCTCAGGATTTTAACTATTGTTAATTGTCATGTAAGCCATATCGCAACTCCAGTGTATTACAAGTAATGACTTGACCAGCAGACTCTTTATATACATGGTTTCCTTTCAACCATGGACATTGAGTGAGTGGATGTTTTTTTCGACATATCTCCAAAGAGTTGAACAGTAATCGTAATCAGTCTACATGCATGCTTCTGCGTGCTTCGATATGAAGCTGATTGTGCTTTTAGGGAGTTTCACAGTTTTATGTCATCCGAGATTAATTACCATAAATTGACATTACGGTCGCCAATCGTAAATATTACAAGAAATAATCATTTGCTTTGCTGAATGATATCATTAATATTTTATATCCTCAAGGTAGAATTATTCAAGTATTATTTATCAATATGAGTTCAGATTCCCTGGCAGTCTGTCTCACAGTCCCTGAACAACATGTTACATTCTGCAATGCACTTTCTGCAATGCTAAAGCCCGAAACGTTCTAAATCTCCCATCTCACTGCAGGTCCTTTTCAATTGAAAATGAACTATTTGTTTCTATCAAAATAATTTTTAGACAAAGGCTAAGCCTTAGTCTAACACCATGTCATAATTATTTGGTTTAACGGTCGCAGTATGTATGGATAATAATTACCATGACGTGACATGAAGGTAAACATTCCAAGAAATAACCCTTTGCCATACTGAATAATATGGTCAAATTTCATAACCTTATTTGAGGAATGTTGTCGTGGCCATAGTAAAATTGACTCAAGTAGAAATTATTTTACTTTACATTGATAAGGTCAAGGTGGAATTGTTTAAATATTATTTATTAATATGTGTTGAGATACTCCGGCAGTCTGTCTCACAGTCCCTGAGCCAGGCGTTCCCCTCTGTAATGCACTTTCTGCAATGCTGAAGCCCGAAACGTTATGGAATCAGGTTCTGAATCTCACACATCTTTTGAAGTTAAAGGAACTATTAATTTGTTTCTGTCAAAGTTTATATATTCAGAGACAAAGCGTTATTCTAACACCAATGCATAGTTGGTAAATGGTCTCTCCATATTCCGATAGGTATACTTAGTTTAATCATTCGAACTTGATTGTTATGTTATCAATAGTAATGTAAACGTTCCAATACTATTCTGAAACCTGACCTAGTAAAGTATCTTTCCCGTCAGAACAATCCCGAAAGTCTTTGCCATTATGAAAAACCCTTTTCATTCATTTACCACTTGGACACTCCTAATAATCTATGCAGGATAAAAAACGACAATCATTTGATAACAACACTAACAAACTTCGCTGTCCTAACAACACTTGCAATCCTCGCTGTTACAATGTTCGCTATCTTAACAATCCAAATCATCCTCGCTTTCCTAACAACCCTTACGTTCGCCTTTACAACAACTCTTACAGTCTTTGCTACCCTAAGAGATATTGAATCTGATAAACCTATCCAGACTCTCAAAACTCTCAACGCCATTGTAGTACTATTCTGTTTGAGGACAGAACGGTGATACAGCTTTAGTTATACTGATCTTTAAGCTCAGTGTGAAACTCCGAAATGAATGCAAACAGTGACATTGATGTCCAAGCTAAGGCCTTGTATACATCACATCGCTTCCACTAAACCTACCAATGCAAATATTTACATCGCCCAATTCGTATTGTGCTTCGCCAGTGATTATAAACTGTTCAATTTGGCCCTTATCACGCATCGTACATATACCATACCACAATTCGTTTCTAAGGAGCTCAACCTATATTCCCACAAACGCAATGAATCTATCTGGAAAAGTCGGAATCGGCAATATTCATATGCTCTGTTGTGATTAGCTAGGCATCTTGCTTCAGCTTTATTGTGCCCAGCAGCCACCTCCCCTCCAGTTCTTGAATACTTGAATACTGGTAGCAGAGCTGGGCAGACTTCATTTCTGTGTTCTATAGACTATGGTCTTTTAGAATGAAGACGTCGGGTTCTAATATATCGTGCACCAGATATGAAGTAATTCCAATTTCAATTTCCAATTTCAAATATGTTGGTTTTGATTTGCTCTGATGTTTTCATTTGGTTTCGGGACCGACATATATTTTCAACAACGTTCAGACATCATGCTTTGGAAATACAATGAAATAGTCGTCTAAACCTTTTCCGAAGTCATAAAACATCTCCGCTATAAGCAACGTACAATTCCGACGGTCTCAGGAGAAGAAACATACTTTCTGAGCGTGGACGGCTCTTACATTTAAATTAAGTATAGGAATTACCCAATGTCTTGAACAATCTGGAATGTATGTGTAAAAGGATTCAAACGCAGTATTTGCTTCTGTTGGAGTGTTTTTATGCCAGACAGATTCATATCCATACGTAGTGGTGATACCGACATACTGATTTACTTCCCGGGGGATCCGACCTAGTGTGAAGGAGAGTAGATCAACACACAGACCAGTTGTTTCGCCTCCCGCTTTGACTGTATTGGATGACATTTGCATGAAATAAACAAACACATTGCAAGTGACTCATACTGATCAGTATCCAATGCAATGATGGGGAACCGAATGTATTATTGTTAGTTTACAGATCGGTTCTTTTGGTTGATTATTGGTTATATTGATCATAACTGGACATAACTAATGACACGGGATGTCCCGCCCTAGTGTCAATAACAACTATAAATACATTACTCAAACAAATTAAAGATCCTGATGAATGCAAACAGTGACATTAATGTCCAAGATAAGGCCTTGTATGCATCACATCGCTTCCACTAAGCCTACCAATGCAAATATTTACACTGACCAATTCGTATTGTGCTTCGCCAGGGCTTGTAAGCTGTTCAATTTGGCTCTTATCACGCATTGCACATTTATCATACCACAATTCGATTCTAAGGAGGTCCCATAACTTCATTGAATCTATCTGGGGAATAAATAAAAAAATTCCCTAAGTCGGTAATGGCAATATTGATATGATCTGTGGTGATTAGCTGGGCATTTCGCTTCATCTTTATTGTGCCCAGCAGCCACCTCTCACTGGTTACTCCTTGCATGACTGCGCGCTGGTAGCAGTGCTGGGCAGACT